ATCTTGCGACTTAGAGTAATTATATGGCTCGAATCTTTAACTATTCTCTTGTTCATTATTACCTATTATGAGAAATAGAAGAAGAGTAAATATATATATTAAGCAAAATTAATCTTATTAAAATGTATATATACCTAAAAAATGAGAAGCTCTTTCCGTGAGATGATCATGAAACTCAGTGAGTAATTTGGCCAAGAAAACTTGTCTATCGGCAGAAAATTCTTCGTACGGTTCGACTACAGCAAAAATGTTCATCTTCTTGTTACGATTATTATCGCCATTTTGCTCGTTAATGGCGGCACAATTTGATGAAATCTTGGCCATTGTTTCAATTTTCTCTTTTTTTTTCTTTTTCTTTTGTGTGTGTGTGTGTGTGTGTGTTAGTCACTGCAAGTATATATATGTACAATGATTCTGCATTATATAGAAAACCAAGGATTGCAAAATTAGTGTGCAAAGCTATGAGAAGCATACTAAACACGAGCACAACAACGTGTTTTATATTTTTAATAGTAGAACAGTATGCTTATATTTTATATGTTTATATTATGCAAAATAATTGAAAGATTTTCTCAACTCCTATATCAGCCTAATTTTTACTTAAGTACATGAGTGCCATGTGGATTGGACAAACCCAAATGAGCCCCGCTGTCGACTCCATTGTGGCCCGGTCGACACTTGCATCGATCCATATGGATAACTAGTTGACTTGACCATTAAAATAATATTTTCAAATTTTGAAAATGCATGTGGAAATATATTTAAATATAATTACTAATTTTATTATTTTTAAGTTATTTTTGAAAAATAATATATATATATATACATATATTAAAATTAATTATATAGTTCAATCAATTGGGTGGTGATCTATAGGCCAGTCTAAGACCAATGTTGAATTCAAAAAATATTTGATGCGTGCTGCTCCTAATCTATTACTATAAAATACAGAGAAGAAAAAATGTTTGAAAAATATTTCAATTTCCCGCTTAAAAGCTGTTTTCTCTCCTAAAGTTTAATTTGAAATTTTTTCATGCAGGTATTTGAATTGTTTTTATTCCATGCATGCATGTTTTCAGTTTTTTTGGGATTTGGATTTCATTTGTATATATATATATATACAAATCATTTGTATATATATATATATATATATATATATATNTTGGGATTTGGATTTCATTTGTATATATATATATATAAAAAAGATTTTGTTTGACTAAATTCACCTATATACAAATCACATTTTCATATGTCTACCGATCTGTTTTTTATTTCCTGTTTTTTAGGTAATCAAGCCGAGTTTAAATTATGGTATCATCCATCAAATGAGTAATTATTTAAGATAATTAGCCGTGAAAAAAGGAAATGAGTTTGTAATTTATTTGGTTAAATTCAGTTTTTGAGTTAATTTTTCTCTTATGAACACGTTTCTGTGGACGGATGTTGCGGTATTGCAGGAGAAGATGATTTAGATATACAAATCCATTATCATGAAAACCTTATTTTTTCATTAATCTTTTTACACGTCACAATTATTTTGTTAAACTTTTTACACTAATCATGGTAACAATTTTTTAAATGGGAATGCTATAATAAAAAATAAAAATACAAAATTTAATCTTTATTGAAAAATTAATTTATAAGTTTTTATATACATATATATAAATCACATATTTCAATAGAAAAATATTATTTTTTTAACATATAGTTATGCAATATATACAACTTAAATAATAATTAAAAAAAAAATACATTGTAAAGAGTTCATTTCAAAGTTATACAGATAAAGTAATCAAATTGGTCGAGACTAATAATAAAGGTATATATTCCATATTATGTTTTCATTGATTTATTATCTTTAAAAATACAATTATGCTGGATATATTATCCATATAAATATAATAAATCTACCATAAAAACGATGAAGAGGACTTCGTGATAACTAAACTTACTTATTTGGAATGTACATCTTTTTATACACATATAAATAAAAAGTCAACGGTTCACCATTATACAAATCATATAGAGATCTTTTACCTTATGTTTATTGTTTTTCACTCCACACGTATAAACTTAATTTAATCTAAATCTCTTTTTATTAAAAAGAGGTAAAATAACATTTGTTTTCCCGCCTAAACTATTATTTTTTTTTATTTTTTTTTTTGACGAAACGATAGAAATATTATAATTCAAAACGCACAAATGTGCAAAGTACAACCCAAGGCTGAATTGTTAGAGTAGAATGCCCGACGTTCCAATCAGATTGGATTTATTTCTACTTATAAAACAATTTATTGGAAATTATATTATTTTGAGGCATAACTTTATCTTATGTATTTGCATTTATCCTATATTTGCACATATGATAAAGTTCTTAGATCATTATTAGCTATGAGACATGGTTGCGCATATGATGGCAATCATGGAACATGTCTTTAAAGTTGTGATCTTAAATAAGTTCCAAGTCGATGGGTGTTTCGAGATAGGACATCGAATAACCCGGTAAGACTTGTGCATATGATGTATGCTCATCGGATTAGAATGTTGCATTCCATCAACATTAGCGTGTGGACGTGAATACATACATGCGGGTACTTGTTGGAGAACAAGTTCACTGAACATGGCCCGATGAAATTCTTAAATGGAAGTTTTAACTGTCGAATAAGAATTTTCATGTTGCAATAGTACATGACTAATCCTATGACTTGAGGCACGATAGTAATCTTGTGCATGTTGTGCTTTACTTTGATTTATCCTTTGATTGCTGGACAATCATAAAAGGGATATTTTGGGTACTGTATTAATATGTATGGAGGTTTATCTGTGGCCAACAAAGAATTCGACACTTATGTGGATAAGTGAATTTCCTATGTTTTTCATAGTTTGTGATTCAAAGACCTTGGCCAAGGCAGGATGAATATGGATTCATAAACGAATCACTAAACTTGAAATGAATTCATAGTTATTAAATCAATTGGGTTTCGACTTATAAATCCATGCCCAAGATTTAATCGGGAAATTAGTTGTCGAAAGGATTTTACATGTATGCACTTGCAATTGAAAAGGTTTACTCGCTATTTCACTTAACACTAGATAATCATGCTACTTGCTAGGTGTTCCCATGATTTGTGGGTTCTTGAAATTAAGGAGTTAGTTTCAAGAATATAAATTAATTAGATTAATTTAAATTACAAACGAGTTGAAAACCCACTACTAGTGTTAATTGTGAACCTAAAAGGGTCACACCAAATTTTGGATGATGACTATTTTGAAATTGGTATTTCTAATAGTTGGATTAATTGACAAGACTTAATTACATAATTTAATTATTTAATTAAATCTAATTTTGATTAGAAGTCAATTAAAGGAATATAATAAATTAATCAATTAGATTGATTAATTAGGCTTTGGATATTAATTAAGTAATTATTGGAATTGCTAAATTAATAATTGAATTTTAAAGTTGGACTTTAAAATTTCAAATCCAAATATTAATATGATTATATATTAAAAGCCTACATAAAAGAGGAGATTTTATTTTATATGAGAGATAAGATTTTGATCAATTAATTTTGAAAGTTAGTTTCATAAATTATATGTCATTATCTTTATTTAATCTTTAATTAAGATTAAAGATTAAAAAAAAAAAATATTAGATGGGAGTTGTTTGATCCAACTCATCTTAATTAATAAAAAGGTTGTGGGTTGTAAGATGCTTTGTTCCATGTTATATGTTCTACATGGTTTTTGTCTTTTCTAAAACAACCTCATTGCTACATATGCGTACATGAGATGTAAAACACACAAGACTCTCCCATTAGCTTTTTGCAAAAAGAGCATGAATGCTCTTGGCTTTTGCAAAACAAAAAAAAAAAAAAAAATCTCCTCTTAAATTAATTCTTTATACCGATTTCATACCGGAAAATTTCTACTAGCGAAGAAATTGTTCACGGAGTCGGAATCCAAAAGGTGGACTCGATTAGAGGGGAGACACTTGGATCCCTTACGGAATAAGAAGACGGTGATAGCCACATAACCGGGAATCGATTTCCTCTTCATCGTCGCTATTTGAAGAAAATTAAAGGTAATTTTCGAAATTCTCTACAAATCAAAATTCGTACTTTTACGTGATTTTAAAAGATGCCGATCATTTTATTTGCTATTTATACTTACGGATTAAGTATTTATTTGATAAATGATAATTATATTGTATAATTTCCGCTGCGATTTTAATCCGTACAGTATAGCGAACCCAACAGTGGTATCAGATCACTGTTTGCATCTTTAAAATCAGATTTTGATTTGTTTATGTTTATGTGATAAACATGATCAATTGTTAAATTATATATATAATTGTTGATATCCGAGTTCGCCCATGAGACCGAGCCGGAGCACAATTCCAAGAGCCGAACCGGAGACCCGGTCTACCCGTAAAGTGCCGAGCTGAACCGGAAAACCTTTTGATCTTGACATCGCCGTGAGGCCATTCGTCAGTTCGGTATCTTTAATTACGACGCCGCGGGTGCCGGGCTGAAAAACGACGGACTGAAAGAAAGATTCCCCAGGACCAAGGGAACAGATGAAAGTCAGATGCCGAGGTGCCGACTTGGGGTCCCAGAGCGGGTCTCTACGACGGAGAATGCCGGTCTCTATAATGGTATAATGATGCCACTTGGAGGACAATCATTGGCTAAATGGATGGGACATCATAGCCTGCAGACCTACTCCTCCTAGCTAAGACATAAAGCCTGTCAGCATTAAATGCCTGCCACCTAATGATGAGGAAAACCTCAAATCGCATTTAATGCTGTCAGAGTAGCGCCGGACTGTCCCGCAGGAACACTGTACGACAAGACGGATGAATAGTATCTGAACAGTGCCACATTAAAGGCTACTATAAATAGCAACCCTTCTCATTTATTTTGGGTTGTTGAACCTCAACTGTAATAGCTATCTCTCTCTACTTTCTCTCTCTAAAAACCCGTATAATCACTCTGTAACAATTTGTAAGGATATTGCAAGTGCCGACCTCGTACGAGAGGCCGACCTAGCGATCTGTCAATAAAACCGCGATTGAACCGTATTTTCTTGTCTCTTCATCATTTCCTTTTCTATTATTTATCTTTTTAACCGTTGACCGAAAACGCTCGTCAACAGTTTGGCGCTAGAGGAAGGGGATCATAAGTTATTTGGTGTCAACTTTTCGATCTTGTAAAAACTCCACACCACGCTCATCTTTTTCCCACTTTTTCGCTTCTTAAAATCGCTCAAAATGCCTTCATCTGGACATGACAATTCCACCCAGCAGTCCGGCTCCCGGTCTC